TAGGTTAGTTTGGATATGATTGAACTGTTACAGAGAAACTTTGAGATGAGTAGGGATTCCGTGCATAAAACTCTTGTGTGGATTGTCTAAAACCCAATGAGATGAAAATGAGGTGAAAATTTTAAGTTAAATGCTAGTTTTAGAAACTGAATGTCAAAAAGAAAATGAGCATTGCACTAATCTTTGAGTGAATAAAAGCATCATTTCGATCCTATATAACTCGAGTGAGTAAGTCTGTGAGGGTGATTTAAAACTTGGTACCATATGGTTATCTGACTTGGGAGTCATTGGCTTAAAGCTCGCTACATGGGTTGTATAGAAAACAAATGAGAAGATGTTCAAAAAAAGAAAAAAAAATGGAGAAAACATGAAAATGAACAAAAAATATTCAAAGACATTGATTAAGCCCCAGACATTTGGTTGACAAAACTAGTCATATGATGAGAAGCAAGTAACTTAGTTTAGTATTGAGGGTTGAAGCAATAAAAAATATAGGAGAATCTCGACTTGTTAAAGTGTGAACTTGTAAGAGTGAGATTTATCCAAACTAAGAGAGAGTAAGAATAGAATTGATTAAGTTCAACTTAAGATACACCCCGAGAAAATTGAGTGAAAAACATAAGTTTAGGGGATGTATCTCTCGAGCGAGGTAATGATATATTTGACTACTATGGGTCAGGTGTTGAACCAATCACAATCTTAATATATTGACATGAGTTTTCACACACACACACGTCGGGTTATGCATGTAATAGGTGGAAATATATTTAATTTGTGCACCGTTATAATTGTTCATTTGTTTGATTACCAATCTGAATCCTAAGACACGGCATGTTGTTGGACCATGTTATACATAAAGTTAAGTTATATTCGATAGTTCAAGTTTGGGGAGTTTGATAAGTGCGTTTTTACACACTTATCGTACTGTCTAAACATGAAAAATTGTTGATTAATATGTTGGAATATAGCTTAATTCCATGTAATCTACATTTTGCATAATAAAGTGATGAATGTAGCGGAAATAAGGAGAAACAAGTGAAAATTGATCAAATGAAGGAAAATAGAAGTTCAAGGACCAAGTTGCAAATAAACAATTGATGTGACAGGCGATGGAGTGAAGATTGAGGGTGTTAGAGATCAATCAGACGAGGAAAGAAGTCAAATGGATGAAACGTAGATTACATAGAAGTAATTTGATGTGGAGGACTAAAATGGAAGAAAGAATGAAGAAAATGACTGAAAAGAATTTACGAAAGTTTTATAACTGGGCAGCCGCCCGACCCTCAACCGAATTAACATGAACCATTTTTTATGCCTGGGTGGTCGCCCCATTTTATACTGGGCACCCGCCCAAGCCAAATCGCGAAAAAATTTCTAGTTTCCTCATTTTAATAGAACTCTTATGGAAACGAATCTTGGAGTGTCTTTTAAAACCCTAGAACGTCCCATAACGGGGGGAGGTGGATTATTCATCATTCTTTCATCTCTTTTTGTTCAAGAAACTCATGAAAAACTAAAAATAAAGGTGAAGCAAGGAAGGAACTTGTTGGATTTCGAGATTTCGCATTAATTTATTCATGTAATTGCTCTTTTCATTGTTGAACAATTCTAGTATTTAGACTTTTCTTTTCATTAATCTACATTGAAATTGGTTTAACATTTACAAGATTTTTCATGAATTCGGTCATACTTTTTCCATTGTTAAATTAAACTATTTGTTAAGTTTCAATTTCAATTACTTATTGTTGAGATTGATTTAACTTTTATCAAGTCTTTTATAGATCTAGTCGTGCTCTTTATATTGAATAATTGAAATAATTGTTGAATTTTAATCTCGATATTAATTTATTGGCGGATTGATTATTGTCTTATACTTGATGCATATTGTCTATCTTTGATCTTGTTCCAATGAATTGTGTGAATATATCATAAGTCTAGATTCTAGGATTACATTTCTAAATTAAATTGGTTTTCACAATAAATCATCCGATTAGAGAGTTGTGATGAAAATTCTCTAATTGAGTTATAAAATGAATAATTGATGTGATCGATCTAATCCAATTGAGGGAATTCCGATACTTCACCACTTCAAGTTAATGATTCTAATTTCACATTTCAAATATTGAATTTTATTACACATTGAAGAGGATATTATAATGGCTTGTTAAGGCCACTAAAATTGTGATCTAATGATGGAGTCGGAGCACTTTATGGTTTGTTGGAGGCATCAAAAATTCATCGAAGTTACTAGTGTTAAACAATTTAATTACTGTAATCCATTTGAAAGTGGAATAATATATGGAGTAAACTAGAAAGAGGTAGGAATATAATAATATTATTTATAATATTATATTAGAATAAGAAGCAAAATTTGAAATAACGAAACTCGAGATTGCACGATAAAAGAACTCATTGATAATATGAAGATGGTGAGAATATAATTGTGTTATAGAGAATTGTGGTGTGGGAAAAATGAAGTGGGGAGGGAATATTTATAGAATAAAAAACCTTTCCAAATTTTCTTTTTTCAAAAAAAAAGTCTAAAATATGATCATTGGCCAATGGTCACAGCTCATGACCCGACAGGCTCGTGGACACTTCTCGTTGACTTGGCCGGCTCGTGGGCTTGCCCCTGCTCAGTTCTTCAATTTTTTATTTTTATTTTTTATGGCTAAATCCTTGGTTCGTCCATATACGAGCTCGAGCAACTCATTGGTCAAGCCTAGATGAGCCAAGGCGACGAGCGGCTCAATCCATTTTCCATCTCTAGATAGAAGATAGTATCAAGATACGATCTCAAACAATTGTTATAAATTTTCACTCTTTCAATTTAAAAACAAGACCAATTTGCTTATGCTTGTAATTCCCCTTTTGCTTATGCGGTCATTCTACTAGGGGTGTCAAATGGATAGAGTCGAGTCACTTGACTCGTCTGCCATCAAGATCCAATTAGCTCACCGATCAAGCTGGTTCGCACTTGCACATGGGGTGAATTGAGTTGAGCACGAGCCAACTCACTTAAACTCGAAACTAGTATTCTATATTTATTTAATTGTGGGTTTAAGTCAAGTTCTTAGAAACATTCATTCTCACTCCATACTAAGAGCCTGTTTGTTTACGATTAAAATCCAATTAAAATTGAAAATATGACCTTTATTGGGTTTCACTTGTCTAATAAAAGTCAACAATAACGACTAGTTTTTCAATTTTAATCTGATTTTAATATCTACCGAACACGCCCTAAGTAAATATGTAATTTAAATTAATTGATAATTCAATAATAAATTGGACGTTTGATCACCTTATGAAACCAATTTAGTGAGTTTTTAATTGGAATTTTCCTAAATATTACAACTCCTTTGCTAAACAAAATAAACTTTCTTTATTACTCCAAAAAAAAAAACTTGTAACCCATTTCTTCCTCATTACTTTATTGGATATCAACTTTTTTAATCCATTTTCTTAAACTTCATTTGAATTTCTTGATTAAATAAGTTTTAAACTTGCAATTCAAATATATGAGCAATACTAGTTTGATGCTGGTGTAGTTGGCTACTGAATAACGTCATGGTTTTGAAAAAAAAAAAGGTTCTGTACTCGTTGTCAACCCAAGTTTCTGTTTTCAAATTTTGTTGTTGTGGTGTCCTTTATGGTCTCTTTCTACAATTTAACTTTGGTAGTTCGATGGGAATGAAGTTCTCAGATAAGGTTCGATCGAAACTACGTCTTCAATGTGAATTGAAAAAATGTATCTTTGTGTTGCGTGTTTTTGTGTCTCACGCTTTGATATGAATTGAAAAACGAAGTTATACAAAATTTTAAGGACCATGATTGGAGTACAGGAGAGTTTTTTATAGGATACTGCCCGGGCAGACAATCAGGTGGGGTTGGGCTATTTTTTTTTTTTTAACACATGTGGGGTCTGCCCCACAAGTGAGAGGCCTGTAAGGCCTCGGTCCTGTACTTGCAGAATTATCCAAATTTTAAAGATAGCAGTACAAAAATAAAATCTACTCCACTGGATAAAAAAAAAACTCAACTAAATAGATGTTCAGTGAAGTAAAGGAAGCTTCTATGAGGAACTGAAATTATCTTAACTAATAGATAAACTGATATGTTATTGCAATATTTAAAGTAGAAAGAAAAAGCACAAGTTGTGGGCATTGATGTAGCATAGAGATGAGCAAAATTTGAACAAAGTCAAAAGCTACAAAGGTACATTAATATTAACATTCACTGGTGCTAAACATGTCTAACATTTTTACTACAAAATATAGGCAAATTCAAACTTCAAACCAACATGTTTACTCCAAAATACAGGGATATTCAAACTTCAAATCATCTACATCTGAGCTTGGTCTTGATGGAAGTAATTAAAGACATGTGCTACAAAATAGAACATAGTTGTTCATTAAGGAGTTATAGTAGCAAAATGAGCAAAACAAACTTCCAAGTTGTAGCACTTATACTGTCCACAAAAATATATATCCATACTTAATCAAGCTTTCTCTTTGTTGTGACTTGATGAGTTGTACAGCTGGGGTTAGCGTTGCTTTTTTCAGCTACCATATCGGGAACCATTGGATTTAGTGGCTTATCTGATGTTCTGAAGAGAATTCATTTTGCAGACGGTGTTGATGTTTCTTCACTATCAGAATTCTTATTTTCTTCAGTAAAGTTGAAGGAGCTTTTATCTTTCTCAGGAGTTTGGAGTTCCATTGCTTCTGGAACAACATTTGGAACGAAATGATTTCATATCTGTACTAGGTAGTGTTCTGTTCAAGCTGAGTAACTTTGATGTAAAAAATGTATTCTGCTTCAGTGTTTATGAAGGAAATTGCAGCACCAGATGGATCTGTTTGTTGTTGAAAATAAAGGTGCAGAATTGTTATCTATATATTCTTATGATTAGAAGTTGAAATGATATAGCCTGGTTGTCAGTCATTTCTTACTGCTTTTGTAAAATTCATCAGATCCTCAGCACTATGCTTTAGTATTGTCTATGCAGGATCTGCAATTGCACTTGCATCCAAAGTTCCACTTTCATCTTCCAATTGTACAGTGGCATTAGCTCTATAGAAATTGAGAATAAATTTATTTAAGTGTAGTAGAAAACAATGACTATCTATTAGAGTTGAGGTAAGTGATTAGAATAAATACTAAATCGTAATAAATGTTACCTTGGGACGGCTTTTGCAGTAGGATGTTTGCAATAAACACACAGGAACATTTCATTGAAATCATCATGAGTGACTTTATTACAGTTGTTGCAAGAGATGTACCAAAAAGCTTGTTTTGTTGTTTTAATGGACGGTGTAGCTCTGACCCAGTAGTATTTTCGCTGATGATAAAAACAATATTTTGTACAGATAGCAAAAAAGAGTAAAATGTCGTTAAAGAGGCTAAGAAGAATAAATCTGAGATATGTAATGAAGTAGAATGAGTTACCCCGAGAAGTCTTCCTTTTAGATGTTGTATTTCTGTAAATTTCTTGTGTGGGGTCGGAGATAATTTTGTGGGAGTCACTATCTGATTTGGTTTCTCCAGTGCAATGTCGTTGAGTTCTTCTTTATGTGCTTCAACCCTGGCAGTAGATGTGTGTAGAACAGTAAAACGTGAATGTACAGTTAATAGATAATGGTCTGAATAATGTAGTATATATAGTATAGATTTCTTCCACTTACCATTTCCTGACTTCAGTAACTTCATTGAAACCAGCATCAAGGAAAAAGGTGCTATTGATTTTGGTGGATAGTGTAAGACCTGTAGCATGGACAAAAATTAGTTTCTTGTTTGTATAGATGTAGAGTGCTGCTTTATATGAGTAGGTATAAACTGCAATATATATGAAATGATACCATTAAATGATGAAACTTTTAATCGGTTAGCTAAAATGATAGGTTTTTTGGCAATGTTTTCAGCAATTTGAACACATTCTTTCTCCACGAAGCCATCCCACATTGTTAGAATGATAGTGTGGAAAGTTCTATCAATCAGGAAAACATCTTGCACATAAGTTTTGTTCCTAAATTGAATTTGAATGAGCCTCTTTGGCCGTATGTCAATAGCCACTGCAAGTATGCCTGCAAGATGTTTTATGTATGAAAAGTTAGTTTAAATTTAGATAAGATAGCATCCTTGAAAAGTCTGTCCAGAAGTTCACTAAATTTAGATAAGAAGCCATCCATGAAAAGTTTGTTCAAAAGTTCAGATTTAGATAAGATGTTATCCATGAGAAGTCTGTTCAGAAGTTCATTACTATGTGAATGTGTGCTTTTGAATTACAGAAAGCAAAAATGTAACTTGGGCAAAAGTAGAAGAAAGGAGTGGGTAGAAATTACTTATATCAGTGTTGGAATCCATATATTTTTCCAGTTCTGGAAATGGAGTGAAGCTGTAGGTTGAAAACAAGAATTCCATGTGGTTTTCATTCACTTCTTCAATACGTGTTTTCCTTGATATTATCCATTGGATATCACCGTTTGATGCTCTGTATTCAGGTTTTGTGTCTTTAACAAGAGCATTTGAAATAACATATGTTTTGCTCAGTTGGAGTTGATCTTCGAAGGCTGTGATATTGGAATCATATAGTGTTGTGTGCACTATGTTCCCCTGTGCCAGTTATGAATGGAAATGAGAAAAAATGTTAGTTTCTTACAATTCTTTATAGAAGCAAAGAATGTAGACTTATAAATTATATTTATGTATTCTACAATATGTTTACCTGAAGATCCATCATCACCATATTTTGATATCTACTGGTACTATGCCTTGCTTGTTTTGGCGAGAATTTTTCAACAACTATTACTTTTGCTTGCCAGTTTTTTTCGGTTGGACTAATCTGTGGTATCAACTTGAAGTTTCCTGCCATGTTATGAAGGCTGAAAAAAAGGAGATAAACAGGATCAGTAATGGGAAAGTAGTAAAGAAGTGTCAAGAAATATTGTTTTTCTTGTGATGTCTTCAAGTATTTACCTGAAGGATGAAAGAAATGATACGTAGTTGTCTTCCTCAAGTGTTCAAACTGAAGTGTTCATGTGTTTTTCTTGATAGTATATTTATAGTGCATATAGATATAGATATATATATATATATATATATACGTGTAGAGACTTTATCTGTAGCTTAATAATTTTGCAGGTACTTGTATGTTGAAAAATATGTTAAATATTGTGAGGGGATTTGACGTGTGAAGATGTGTGGTCAATGTCCATACCCACTTATTGTTGTCAGTAGAAAAGCTAGAAAAGCTGCTTAGATTTTCTTTCAGCAGAAAAGGCTTTTTCTGAAAAAGAAAATGCTTTTTCTGAAAAAGCTGTTTAGTGCTACTACATGAAATAGACAAGTACATGTAATAGACAGTAAAACAATTTGACTAAAGTATGGTATAGAGTATTGGTAATTATTTTTTTTTCCTAGCACGGCAAGGTACATATAGCAGCTGAAAATTGAAATAATTATTGAAGTAAAGAAACAAGAAAAAAGGGAGATTATTTTCTTTAGCTTAATGTAGCCTGCATTTATATTCTAACTTTTGTTTGTTAATTTATTTATAGTAAATTTGGAGTAATTTATGGTATACCTATTGAACGAAAAGAAACATATATAGAACAGATTATTATAGTAAGAAATTAAATAACATGCACTGTAAAATTAATGTGTATAGTCACGGAAATGTGTAGGTGTGATAAAAAGACTATGAGCCAATGAATTCACATACCTGTGGTAGGAATGTGTGAATGGATAAATTCTTGAATGTAATTTTGGAAATGGTCTGACCTTCTTTTTCCTTTCTCATTCTTTTCAGGGACATCTTTATCCAGTTTTGCCTCCTTTTCAGCAGTCAATATTGCTTATTTTCTACTATTTACGTGATATGAAGGACATGGTCAAAAGACCATGAAAAAGAGCTAACTAACAAGTAAAAGTAATGTATGAAAAAGGAAGCATAAAGTGTAAAGAAAATAGTGATATGATGCATTGAAAACATATAAAAAAGAACCAGATTGTTAGACAAAAATCATGATCATTTAAAGATTTGCAGTTTTTTCGCAGGTAAGAAAACAGATTGCATCTAGTGTAGGAATAAGATACGAAAAAAATGTGTATCATAAAAATAAATGTGGTTCAAGTGAAAATAAACAATCTCACTTGTTCAGGATCACAAAAACTCCACATATGATGAATGTTACTGCAAAAAGGAACCATTTGTTGCTTAGGAACTATGGCATTAAAAGCAATGTATCCACAAGTTAAGACATTAATTAATGCACGAGTCAAAATTTGTATACATACCAAATATTTTGTTCCTGTACTTAACATGGCAGAAGCTTTTCTACATCTCGAATGATTCAAGTAACTCACCTTCAATTTTTTTTTGCACGAGGTTAGATCATTGAAACCAGATAGCCTATAGAAAGAAAACAATGTATAAGGAATACTAACTATTATCTATTTATGCTAACCTGTCCATGAGTAAAAGTCTGAAGTTGCCTGCCAAAGAGTTTGTTTCTTGGGCTATGGGTCGGTCTCCCTGAAAAAAGTAGGCTGTCGATTTCTGTACAATCCATGTGTATCCACCCTTAGCACTGGGTACAAACTCAGCTCCATAGGAAATGTCCCAGCCTACCACTCTCACCTCCCGAACCAATTGGCACGTCTACCAATACAAAGAAATTTCGAAAATCAGCATTCAAAAATGAAAATGAATGGTTAATAATAATAGGATTACTCATGCAGGGAAGCTTGTAAGAAAAAGTGAAAACCCATAATTCACAACCAATACTCTAGTTTCTATTGAATCAATCATAAAGACCAGGATTTTAACATCAAAAACACTTTGATTCATAGATGCACGGTGGTAAGACACGAAAGAAGTGGTTTATGGGTGTAAAGTTTATACCTATTTGGCAACAAATTCAGGATAATTCCAGTGCATACTCCACAGCTCAATGCACTCGAGTATGCCATGGAAATACTAAATCAGCTTCAGAGAAATGAGCCCATCATCTCCCCCACAATCCCTACCCCCCATTACCTGAAAATCTCACATCTGAAACCAAGACAAAAGACACAATATGCCACTTAACACATGATTAATGATCCCAGACTGTAGGCTGATTCTCTCTCTATGCCCAGCCCCTCATCTCTTTTGTGTGCAAATGCATGCTTATGCACATTCTACTTTAGTCGTTGGAGGCAAGAAAAGTTTTTCACAAGTTGTGGCCCTATGATTTTCTTTGGGTTTTGTACAAGGTAAGTGTGTTTTGGGGTTGGGGAATTTACCATCTCCATAAATAGCAATATGAGATCCAATTAATAGATATCAATTGTTATTAGCGTTTTCAAGAAGCTAACATTCATGAAGAAATCCATCTACGTGAACACAAATTTATTACAACTTTATAACTCAAGGATCCATACCATAATATTGGAACACAAGACAGAAAAACAATAACCAATCAAAAATTTCAAACGATCAGCCTTACAATCACATATAATCTAAATATAACTTTTCAGCACTATCATTGATCCTATATCCTAATCCAAAACATATGGAAAAATAATTCTTATTTTAGACCATGAAGTTATCCAATCGTCTTTACCATGCGTGTCATTATAGCATTCTTTCCATGCAATAGAAAAAAAAAAGATTTAAGAATTGTAACTTGTAGAGCTTAAGGAACTAAATTTTTCCATTTTTAGATCATTTATCATTCATTACATTCTTAAATTAGCAAACATTCTCTTAATTTCAAATTTTCACTTATGAACCCAGTGAACATATAATTTAAAAAACATTACAAACAACCAAGGATACCCACTCACTCTCTCCTGTTGCAGTGTGCTAAAAAATCTCTCCCAAAATCTTGAACAAAAATTTCAAGAATTCTTCAATCCCATAAACCATCCATTCACAGAATCTAGCAAGAATTTATTAGTTCCCTATTACAAGAAATTTAAGTCACTGTCAGCTTAAATTAGCAAAATCACAATAAAAATTTCCCAGCAAACCTTCAAGAATTATAAAAGAAATGCACAGGAGATAAATATATTTAATTTCAAGTGAACTTTTCAGTTTATCATCAAATCTTTTTATAAAATCTCAATGAAGATACAAGGAAACACATTAAAACGAATCAAATAAGTAAGGGTTAAAAAGAAAGTTATTGCACAGTGTTGCACAAGTTCATTTCATATAGTGAGGGTTAAAACCTGTGAATACATGCCTCTCAAGAACTTCACGACACTGCTGATGGATGTTTTGTCTTAAAGGCTGCAGAAAACTATTATTAAGAGATACTGAGAAATGGAAAGAATAATTAGAAGAAAATGAAACCTCTACATTATACCGTGTATTTAATTTACCTAGAACTCAGAGATCTTCTCTTTGAATGTGCAGCAGAGTGAATGTGCTTCCATCCATTACTCCACCTTCTGTATCTTCACTACAATCCAAAAAATCCAAAGGTTTCCCTATTTCGAACTCATAACTAAAATTTCAACTATAAGTAAAACAATAATTTCATAACTAAAAAAATTACTTATAGGTAAAAAAATCCTTACAAGACAAAAGTTCACTTTTTTTTACAAAAAATTGCTTGTAAGTGAAAATTACTGCTAATAAATAAAAAATTCACCTACAAACGTAGTTGAAGGAGCTAGATCCCTTTTGCATCCATTGAACAAATTCTTCAGAACGTTGATGTTTTGATGGCTGGTTTAAAAAAATAACAGAAAATATCAACCAGAGGGCCCCAATCTGCAGATTAGTTGAAAGGATTAGTCCTAGATAAGATTGTGATATGGAAAATGTTGACTGAAACAAGATTTCTGCAGAATTTAGCTTCCCAACAATGAAAGATTATTGCCTCCATTAATATTAGTCATGCAACTCTAAGTGGCATGCTTACCATTTCATTTTAGCACAATGTAGGAATTCCTCATGTGGCACGTTGGTAAATAACATACTGACCAATGGTATGTACTCAAGCATGCAATTGGATCAAGCTTCAGCTTCTTTTTTCTGAAGTCATTAATGTATCTTCTTATGCTCCCACAATATTAGTATATCCACAAGAATGTATGAAATTTGAGAACTAAAACGATTTATTTTCTTCATTGTAGGTGGAGGTAGTAGTCTGATTTTGAATTCACAAACAACTACTTGGAGACTAAGACATAAGTCTTGTCAAGGCACCTAGAGGTATCATAATAACTGATGCAAAAGCTTACAACATAGAATTCAATCTTGTAACTAAATATTCATTGACATTTTGCACCAATAACATGATCAGGCCTAATGGGCACGCAAAAGCATCATTTAAATAAAACGCACTAAAGAAATTTTCATACTAAAAAATACCTTCATAAAAGCTTATGTCCTACTTCAATCACTCTTATTCTAGTTAATAGAAATCACCAACCTGCTCCTGGCGAAACAAGGCCTTAGCATTGTTTTCACCATCACGAAGAGCGAATTATGTGTCAAAGAGTGCTCCCTTCAAATCTCCCAGTTTCAATTTACAAGCCTAAGAAAGATAGCACACCAGGTATCAGTAAGCAAAATTTATTGCTAAGATTCTTATGTACATAATCATTTCTTGGAAATTTTAAAAGTTCCTCTAAAAAAGAGTATGCAATCATTGCTCCCTTCTAGACAAGGTGAAATGCCAAAATGGAATTAACAGGATTCATTTCAAATGAAGTGTAGTACAATATTTATGCTAAAATGTACAACCCATCATTGCCAACAATAACCACCATCAATATGTATATACTGCTAATTTGCCAGTATAGTGGAATGTTAGATGTGTATTTAGCAAAATTCATAAAAATACAAAATATGAAATCATAATAACCCCGGTTTTATAATCTCTGCAGTTGAAAGAATTTCTACATTAAATTTGACTTCCTTTCCTGGTACAAGGAAAAAAATTTCAATTACGGGACTTGACAAATAGTACCCAATACAATGAATCGTATGAGGCATGAACTAACACTTAAAAATCAATCAAAATGTCTAAGAAGAAAGCATTACGAAGGAAATTGAAAAAAATCTTATAAAAGAATTGCAACAATGCTACACAGAAATAAAAAAGGCATAAGAGGTGAAAGAAAATGACGCCCTAATATTTCTAGCCATTACTTTTCATATTAATGATGGGAAACCTTTTAAGACAACTGATATTTTTTGAGTTCTCATCTTTATATACTGAAATGAATAAAATGATTAAAAAAGTAATGATGATAAATGAAGGCAAGAAGGCATTCATAAGGTGTCCACGCTATGCCAAACTTTCTTGTACTCGAGTTTGAATTGGTATTTAACTCTTGAAACAATGATCACATTTTGTTATCAAGCACCATGCCACTTTGCACTGAAATAATCACATCTTTTGTCAAGCACCATTACAACTTTGTACTGATACCCTACAGTCTTTTTCTTTTCAAAGACAAGAAAGAAACAAACTACATTTTGAACAATTAAATAATTGAATTCAAAAATAAAAAAATAAAAAAACTGACCTTGTACTGGGATTGAGGATTACCAAACAATTACAAGAGGCGTTTCATCCTACCAAGATCAAACCCATCATCGGAATCCCTTTCAATTTCATTTGCGGTCGAACGCCGCGACCCAGCGCGATAAAATTAATCTTTTTACCTTCCATTAAAAAGCCCTGAAGCATTATGCCATTATCCTCTAGTTCCACATAATTCTGCTCATCTTCTACAACAACAAAAAAAGCACAAGATCATAAAGATCAAGAAAGAGTTGCCTTTTGATGAAGAAAATAACTTAGCATAAAAAAACAGGGGACACCATTGTTGCCTAGAATGAAATTCGAGACATACATTTTTGCACTCTTCAATGAGAATCAGAAAACAGGCTCTATGGCCGAAAGAAATTTTGGGCTATTCTGGCCAGATTTTAGTGCCGTGTATGACATTGACATTATGTGCGGAGGAGCATCCACTGTAATCAATATATCCTCAATTTTATCAGATGATTTTTTCTCTAACTTTAGAAGATAATAAATATCACGGTTTTAAATTAAAGCTAAAATAGTAAAATAGTATGTGCAGGTAAAATTGGACTAGGCAAGAGAGCAAGAAGGAGATTTTGAAAGCAGAAGAGCTCACTTATTCAGCCCACAATATATCCGCTATTGATTATTTATATTCTCAATCTTCTCATCAAGAGGAAAGATATGCACAAATTGAGAAACATAAAATTTTTACATCTTGTAATGAATTACTTGTGTCAAGAAAAAATTGCAATCCATTCAATAATCCAAACTTTTACATCGTTACAGTGTTCGGTAATCACTAAATTTAGATTTAGTCGGAATACATAGGTAGGCCAATCTGGTGATCATATTTTAGTGGAGAGAATTTCATTGGAAGACCTAATTTACCTTGAAACATGAAGCAGCTCCACACAAATTGGACCAAGAATGCCACTTCAAAACCATGAAAGAAACATCCAAGAATCACAAAGAAACTGCAGCGAACGGATTGCGCAAGGAAGACAGAGAGCAAGGGAGAAAACGACAACACACGGGGACAAATTCTCCATCAAATCCTATAGATATGTTTGTCTGACCTTAGAGAGGCTAAATACCAGTGAGAATAGTATTCACAAAAATAGCATCCACTTCCTCCTATAAATAGAGTAAAAAATCAGAGCACAAATCATTTTTATTGAATATAGACAAGTCATATCAGCATATTGACTTCCATCATGGAAATCCCTAAAAATGCCATTGAATTGTATTTCATTCTTCGAGACATGATTCAAAATAGAGTTAGGCGTTTGCAATTTACATACCTTGTTCATAGAGACCATCCAGTCATTGATCTTCTTCACATTCTTAAGCTTTCTCAAAAAATACCTTCATCAAAAAAAAAAAAAAATTAACTGAGAAAAATGAACTTTTGCCTCCATTTTTTTCAGTACACATATAAAGGATTTCTAGAAATGTAGGAAATTATTCCTAGATGCAATATTAATGTAAACATAGAAAGAAAATTCCGGTGTAACCCCTAATTGAAAAATAACAAAAACGATTGCTCTACCCCGGAAAAAAGCTTAAGCTTAGAAATGAGCTGTAATTATATATATATATATATAGGATTCAACATTAATAAGCTGAAGTAAATCTAAAGAATGAAAGATGTCCAGAAAAGGTAAAAAATAAAATCACAGAGGTGGTTGGGACAAAGGAATTCTTGCCTTACCTAACAGTTTTCCATTTTCTTTCACTCTCTGTACTTCAAATTTATGCCTAATCCCTACATATAATACAAAATGACTCAATAAAAGCTTCATCTACATTTATAGATAAGCAACAACAATATGATTCATCAAACAAAACTTAACGGTTCACCCCATTTATTTATAGTTGATGATGCACTTGACTACTTTCTAAGCATAGCATAATATAATCTAATCTAATAATTTCTTTTTACCTCCTGTTTCTGAATAACAGATTAACAAAGGCCCTAGAATCCCTTTTCACATCTTCAAATAGTTAAAAGCATTCATTCTAACTTTATCACATTGTTATGCCTCAAGACACAAATTCCTTTCCAACTTCTTGCATATAGGCATATAATTCAGAACTTGTGAAACACTTCCAACAACCTAGGCATTACAATTATGTCTTGTAAAAAAATATTATATTAACAACTCCTCTTTCATACTGAAGAAACACACAAGAAAATACACACACATCTTAGTAACAACTACTTGCTTCTCCATAAGCCATTCAAGTTCAAAGGTACATGCATATGATTTCTAACTTTAACAAATGCTAGAAAAAATTCCCTTACATGAAAATTCTTCTCTGGACTTCTTAAAAAAATATCAACATTACATGTGACAACTTCATTTTTTCCCCCTGCACGGAAACAAAATTCAGGCCACATTATTCGACAATGCCAATATATGAAACCTAGATTGGAACGGGTTGTATTGCAAATATGTCATAAAATGGCAAAAATGAATTAAACGATCATTTGGACTGAGGTTCTTCTCTTGTTCTAGAATAGGAGATAAAGAACATACAACAGTTAAGTAAAATATAGATGCCTACATATAGGTAATTATCAGCCCTTGATGAACCAAGAAATCCCCTTTTCCCTGCCTTATCATCGAGTGTGTATTACTTGATTATATCCACACTTCTCATTCATAGAATTCATATGAACTCAAGTTCTCT